GTAAATTAGCCAAGAGGGATGATGATTGGAAGACGGCGGATTTCGCGGGGATGAAAAATGTCTGGGAGTAGGCAGGGCACTGGGCAGTAGGTCACGGTGTTTCGTGCGACCTGCACTTTCGCATCTCGTCTTCCTGGCTTCCCCGCCAAAAAAAGGGGGAAAAAATGCAAATTTTGGAGCAGCACACGAGCGGGGGGAAATCACTCTTAAAAACTGTGACCCGACTAATCCCTATTACGTTCTATTACGCTATTACAGAAGGCTTATTACGCTCGGAAATATTCAGATTTAGGCTAAAATCGGACCCTAAATAGAAAAAATTTTTAAAAATTTGGCTATTCCCTTTACTATTACGCGTAATACTAGGAATCGTGACCCCCCCAGCCAAAAACCCCGGTTACGGTTCCGGAGAAATCTCCGCTTACGATCGTAAATCCCCCCAAAATTTTCCGGTTGCGATCGGAAAGGACCTAATTTACGGTTACGGTCGGTCACGTCCCGGTTACGATCGGACTCGTTCCGGTTACGATCGGACTCTTTCCGGTTACGACCGACTCGTTCCGGTTACGACCGGACCCATTCCGGTTACGATCGGACCAGATCCGGGTCCGAGGCCGGACTCGAAGAAGCATGTCCCATGCGTTTAAGTCTCCAGCGAATTTTCAAAAAACCCCCTCCATAACTTGTGAACGGTAACTTATAATAATTTCTGAAGTAAAATTTGGGCGTAGCTCGCAAAGTTTACCCTGAGATCATGCATATATAACGCGGATCTCTGCTTGATGGAGCACCACAGAAGACAAACTTGATGCCTTGTGACACTTTGTACTCCGACCGGAATGGTCAGTTACGGTCGTAAACCCTTCCTGGTTACGATCGTTGTCGTAACCGGAAATGTCCGAAATTACGGTCGTAATCGTATTCCGGCCGGAATCGTATCCCGGTCGGAATCCTATCCCGGTCGTAACCGTACTCGGAACCGTAACCGGATTTTCGGCTGGGCGACTATTACGCGAGTGATTTCCCCCTCGAGCACGAGTCAGAACATTGTACGGTACAGTACGCAACTTGCCATGACTTATGATGCTGGCGGGTAAAATATCCCCTGTATCTCAAATTTTACATCTGATTTCCTGGAAAATTCTTCAACTGCGACGTTAACGTTTCTTCCAATCACACTAGCCGAACGACAAAGGCAAACTAAAAATTGCATTTGCGAAAGGACACTGTCGAGGCTTCGAAAAAATTTGAATTTACGATGAAAAGGCATCGCGTTTGTCGCCTTTACCCGCAGGTGTGCCCAGCAGATCACTCGGCTTTTTTTTTCCTCGCGGAGAATGTGCGGTGCATCTTGCAAGAGACTGTACGACGCGGTGCTGGGAGCAGCTGATAATCACCAGCACAGCAAACCAACATGGTAAGATGGACGATGTGCCCGAGCCGCTCCGCGCCACCCCGCCCCACCCCGCCCCGCCCCGCGCATCCCATTCCCTGGCTTCCCTAGCCGGGACGCGGGGCGGCAGTGCACTGCAGTGGCGGCCTCGCGCAGTCCCATCAGGAAACCTAACATAATGGCGAAAAAATATCGGCTGATTCCGTCGCGCTTCATGGCTGATTTAGACGCCGCTTGCAGCCACGGAGCGGGACGCAGCCGTCCTCCCGGGGGAGGGGAGGGGGGAGGGGTGTCGGGACGGGAGGGTGCAGCCGGTAGCTGGGGGTGCATCAGTGGCTGCGTCCGCGCGCCGGTCGCTCTAAGCCACTACTTGGGGGAGCGTCCCTAAGCTGGGACGAGCGTGGCCCGCGGAGTACCGTCCGGTGCAAAAGCACAGCACGAATTAACGACCAGTTTTTCGGGTGCAGGAGAAAGTCGGGACAGAAATGTTAAATTTTTCTGAACAACCTCGGTGTCAATCACCCAGTGTTTCGACTTTTGACACCCCAAAACACCTCTGTATTTTTTCGACTTTTGACACCCCAAAACACCTCTGTATTTCTTTTTCGACTTTTGATACCCCAAAACACCTCTGTGTTTTTTTTTCGATTTTTGACACCTGAAAGCACCGCTGGTGTTTTCTTCTCTTTTTCTCTCTTTTTTCGACTTTTGACGCCCCAAAAACACCGCTGGCGGGTACCAGAAAGTGTCGCCACCGGTTCGCAGTGATTTCACTTCCCGTGCACCGCGTCGCAGCGCGCGCTGCCGACAATGTTGCAGTTCCAGGCTGCGTCCGGGACGGCGGTCCTTTTGGCCGCGGCCCTTTGGTCCGCAACGCAGGGACGACGAGCCGGCCGCTCGAAGGCAGCCCGTCGCCCCGTCACACAGTGTAAGGCACACACGCTCGAAGGCTGCCAGAGGCATTCGCACGGGTGTCATGCACGGAACGCAGCACCCCTCGCGAGGGGACGTCCCCCTCCTCCCGCTGCCATTCGTGGGGTCGCGGCGCGGCGCGCATGCAGCGACCAAGATGGAGGCCTGCATGATGTGGAAACGCGACGAGCGTGGTGGGGGACGCGGCGCGGCTCGCTGTCGCTGGCGTCGCTGGGCGGGGCGAGGGAGGCGAGGGGAGGGGTGCGGCCGTTCCAAAAGGTTCCTCCAGCAGCGCGCGGCCGCGACGCTGTATAAGCCGCCCGCGTCTCCAGAGAGGCGCCAGGTGGGGCGGACACCGAACCGATTGTAGTCAACTCTTTTGAAAAGGCCCGAGCGAGATGTATGCGGATTGCTCGCTATGTCGGCGCGGTCCTCCCACATGCAGGCCATTCTGGCTGGTGCCAGGGTGCAGAGAGAGAGAGAGAGAGAGAGAGACAGACAGACAGACAGACAGACAGACAGACAGACAGACAGACAGACAGACACAGAATGACAGTAACTATCCCTGTACTAGATAGAGGCCTCCTGGAAGGTACGCGACAAGCTATTTGTCTCCGTAAGTCGGCAAAAAGCACTTCTCTACCCCTTAGAGTAAGAATCTAGCCTAACCCGATCCTTTCTCTAGGCTCTAGCCTATCTTGGACAAGATCCTGGATCCGCGTCTGCGAGGGTGGCAAGGGGTGGCCGCCGTAACACACTGCCGTGTCGCGGCGCGTGGCCGTTGCCACCCGGAGTCTCCCCAGGCACGCTGATTTCGAACACTTCGCTCTGTCTCTCTCGCACTCGTGGGCCGTCTCGCAGGGGTGCGAGAGAGACAGCGTGAAGAGAACCACCGTCCGGAGCCACCCCTGGACCGCGCCGCCCGGCGGCACCGCGAGATTCGATTAATAACCGAGGCCAATGAGTCCGTGATTGATTTTCTCGATATCTCATTAGCCGCGCGTTTCGAGAACGAGATTGGGAGCGGGCGGCGAGAAAGCGGTTAAAGAAATTAGTCGAAACGCAAAGCACTCCAACGAGGCAGAGCGGCTTGACGCGTGGTGCGACGCAGTGCAGTGCGGGCGGTACACCTTCAGGGTGAAGAATCACGCTGAAGAAAAGAGAAAGCAAAATCTAGTCGCAGGCGGTCTCGAACTCGGGCGCCTAATTGAACATACCAGGTGGACATGAAGTCAACCACAGTCGATTTGCTACCAGCTGTAGCACTGCGAAAGATACTTGTGAAACATTCTGCAGTTTGTTACCAAAAATGTACGAAAATTGCGGTGTGGAATTAAGTACGAGTTAAAAGTAGTTGATAGTATTTAATAGTAGTTGATAGTAGTTGATAGTAGTTAATAGTAGTTGATAGTAGTTGATAGTAGTTAATAGTAGTTAATAGTAGTTAATAGTAGTTAATAGTAGTTAATAGTAGTTAATAGTAGTTAATAGTAGTTAATAGTAGTTAATAGTAGTTAATAGTAGTTAATAGTAGTTAATAGTAGTTAATGGTAGTTAATAGTAGTTAATAGTAGTTAATAGTAGTTAATAGTAGTTAATAGTAGTGAATAGTAG